GGGGGGGGATGATTGGAAACTTGCATGGGCATGCTCGTGATGTTGGGTCAACGGAATGTTTAAGACAAAAGAAGGCAAGCAGTCAATGCGGGCGTAGAAAGGCTATCAAAGTATGGCACCAATGGGATGTATGGAAGGCATGATGTCCCACTTCTCTAGCTTGGTCTTCACGCGCACCAACTGGCCGTCCTCTGTGCGACTCCAACGGCGCAGGTCTGAGCGCGTCCCCATATCCACCAAACCCCGCAGCTCTATCAGAGCAACAGAGTCGTTCCAGTATTCCACAGGGGCCACCATTAAGATGGGGGGGCATCCTGAGTCCAGGCGTGACTGGTAACAGTCCACAAGGCTGCTGTAAACGTCGGCCTGGCTTGATGTGACATCATCTCCCAGTTCGATAGCTCTAAGATGCGGTAGAGCTGGAGGCCCATCCGGCCTTGACGTATAAGGCGCGCTGGTGCTGAGTGCCTCAAAGAGGGGATGGAACGTTCCCGAGGCAACGTTAGGCAATGTGACGATCTTGAGGACCGAGACGTTGGGCATCATACTGAGCAGCAGGTCCCAGCATGAGACGTCCAATTCCGTGAAGTCAGTCGTCAAGTGCGTCACGCGACTGAACATGGAATTGATGAACTTTTCGCTGCGCCAGAACNAAGTGCGTCACGCGACTGAACATGGAATTGATGAACTTTTCGCTGCGCCAGAACATGATGTGTTCGATCTTGGGGGGCATGTCAAATGAGAAAATAGAGGGCGATCCCTCAAGGGAGTCGGCGTCATGAACGGAGAGCCTTTTGTTGACCCAGGTCATTCGTAACCGGGAATGATCCTCACTTCTTTTGGACAGGTATTCAATGACAGGGGTCACGGCCAGGGGGACGGCGGGCAGGTCATTAATCACGATCTCCGTCCAAGAAGGCAGTTTGAGGTCCATGAGGAGCTCAGCGACGTTATTTGGTGCATTTCCCCCGTAGCTCATGATGAATCGTCGCAAAAGGGAGGGTCTTGCTTTTCGAACGGCACTTGACTGCGTATTCCAATTGGTGATAGAGAGCGTCAACACGTTTCGTAGTTCCAGGGTGACGAGGTTTGGACAATCGTCCAGCAGGCGAAAGAGTGCATGTCCAGTAAAGTGGGTCGGCGGGTGACTGATGACGATGTGGCGGATGGTATTTGAGCGATATGATGACTCGGGATGTCCAAGTAAGGGTATGGCCACGTCTCTGAGCTCAAACGCATAACCCGTCTCCACCCGTAATAGAACGCTACGGTCGGTCTTGTCGAGGATGTTATTGATCTCTTGGGAGGAGCATCCATTGACCGTGATGGAAGTAACCCGATGACATTCCTGGAGAAGCACGTTGCACATCTTGGCGACATGTTCCCTGCCCGTGACGTGAATGTGAAGTTGCGTTGTGGAAGAAGCACGAGCGATAAAGATGTCCGTGGCGGATGGCAGACGGCCAACGCTTTGAGCCCATATGGTTTTACAAGAGATTATGATGTGCCGCCAGCGGCGGCAGAGGTGCGTAAGAGATAGCCAGCCCTGATACTTTTCCTCGCGGGGATGGGAGCAGAGGCCAGAATGATGGAAGCAGAGCAACATCTGGTCGGTGAGTGCGATCAGAGTGAATATGAGCCCGAGGATCTCGACAGGTAGAGCATCCGTTTTATTGGCCATGTTGCACTCGATGTCCAACCCTTGATACCGTACAGATGAGCGTCAGGAGGTAAAAAGTCTGATAGGCGCTCAGCAAGGCGCGGCTCACGAGTGAGACCCTTGACGTAATTCATTAGAGTCGGCGATCTTATATAGTCTAATGTATTACGAAGTGCAGGTTGACTGTATCGCGGTGCAGTAGCAGAAATACGTCAATTCGTGGTTCTCAAAGTACGTGCTTGGAAATGAGCCCATTACTGGATAAGACTGCTCGTCAGAGGTTCCCCCACAGCTTCCTTTGCAGACAAGGATTCCCGGACTTGCAAGGCAGAAACACTACGAGCAGTGGAGCAATATTTTACGAGAATGAGATCCCTTGTCTTAGCAATACGGTTCAATTTCGATTTCTTTCTCGTTCGATCAACCGTTCTTGCATGTCCATGTGTTTACCCGGTACTTAAGAACTTACGTGCCGTCGTCGTCAGTTTGTCCGGTGTATTGTCTAGAGCCCCGGCCCTCTATCTATCCACATGTGCATCTCTTTCGCATCTGAGTCAGTCACGGATCCGCTGACTCTATAGCTTCCGCGCTTCTTAGAATGTTTCCACTCCCACCGTACGTAACTCCCTTGCATACATAAAAGGCGTCGTCATAATTGGGTGCGACTCTCGCGCTTCGTTCACTTCCATTGGCGACGCCCAGCAACCGTCCACACCGAGTCGTGCACGCGATCTGCAATGGAAAGCCTCGCAAATCTGTCTGTATGCGACTGCGAACATCTACGCGATCTCGCCAATCAGTACATGGACGCTTGGCTGACGGACCCTTCGACGGAGAATGTAGACGAGTTGAACGCCGCTCTTGTTGCCAATCTCGCATACAGCAAGTACTCTCCTGGCGATGCGACATTGGCCGAAGATGTGGACAAGGCATTGGACGATTACACGGTCGCGGTGCACGCCAATAAGTCGGACGACGTACACAAAAACGTGATCGCCCTGTATACCTACATGGCTGCGCACAACACCGCGAAATGGCCGGGGTACAATAGTCCTAAGAATCTCAAGCGCAAGGTCGACCTCGCGCAACTGAACTTCACACCCATGTCTCACAACAATCCAGATGCACCGCGCAACCGATGACACAGCGAGCGAGCCTTTGCAGCTGATGTACAAATGTGCACTTCAGCTGTTGGCCATAAAATCGCAAAGTCTCGTCAGAAAGGAAGGTAGCAGACGATACACGGAAGCTCTTTGGCAGGGCGAACAAGTGGAGAACTCACGGCTTCGAGCAGTTGTGAGTGTATCAACATCATAGCAAAGCCTTTGACGTGACCGTAGGACGTTCTGCGCTAGATATCTGAGGCGCGGGAGACGGCTGAAAAAGGATTCGCTGATATGAGACAAGCCATACAGGCTCGCGACGAGGAGATTGAACGACTCAGAGCAGCCGTGAGCATGTCGACATTAGAGCGGAGCACTTGAAATGACGCTGCTGTACTGTAGATTGCCAGCGCGCGGGAGAGGCTCGGCAGCCAACTCGGCGATATCGACAGTATCTTAGCAATGGTGAGTCTTTCAATATTCGCTCTTCACTGAAGATGCTGAAATATCGCAAGGACAAGCAATCAGTTTCTTAGCGAGTGCGCCCTCGCTTGCCGGATGCGTACAAGTCATTCTCATCTCTGTGTACCATCACACCCGTGCTCCTTGACTTGGACTCAAGTTTTGGACGACCGTTGTTTTGTACATTGATTCGCAGACAAGATTGGTTATCACTGGTATCTTTAATGCACTTTGCTTCGCATTCAATGGCGACTATTCTGTCGAGTCACGACAACGTCTATAAGCCGGTGCACAGGGTGACCAGCCCCAAACATTTGTCGCGGTATAACACCGCACTCTCGTCCCAAAAGTATACCGAGCTCCTGTATTCCCCATATACTTGAGCAGCTTCCTCCAGTCTTACATTTACGTTCTGCTTTGACTGTTCCCCCACTGATCTTTCCATTGTGTGCATATTTACACGGGAATATCTGAACACTAACATATGACACATCAACTTCCGACCAAAGATATGAAAACATGTCATCCATCTACTGAACTGGAACCGTCTGCGGACGCCAAACGCACTTTACGATGCTATCAAAAACCAATTCTTAACCAAAGTCCATGCCCGCGCACAAGCGCCGAAAGTGTGGGGAATGCGACCGGTGCGGCGCATGCAGCGATAAGAGCAGGAATTCGCGGCGACGTCGACGAGGTTATCTATTGTGTGAGCAATTCTCGGTGGTAAGTTGTGGTCCCGGGTAAAGATGATGAGATTGAGGCCAGCGGAGTGTAGACCTGTCGAATAGTGTACACGTATGGCAGGCCAAAACTCCGGCTCAGGTTTGTCTGAAGGATTCAGCTGAGCTGCCTTTATGGCGCAGGAAGTGGCAGGGAGAAGGCAGCCCTTGCCAAAATATTGTGAAATTTCATCGCTGTTGAGCAATCGCCCCTGCGTGCAGAATCGAAGGACGTGAACCTGCACGTCAGGCCGAAAGCCCAATCGTGGAACAAAGTCGCAGACCGGGGGTATATTGGATCGTCCAGGGACGTGAAAGTCACGGAAGCAAATGCGTGTGAGGCGCGGAAAGTAAATGCGCGCAGGTGGGACAGGAAGCGCGGGTCTCGAGAGTCGGGGTTAAGTTCCCAGGCAAATTAATCCGAAGGTCGAGCGTCTCAAGGGTCTCATGCGAGAGTTGAAGCACGTTGAGCAGCTTATAACGAGTGACAGTCCAAGCCGGCGATCGTTTATTGAGGGAGGACTGCCAAATAGAAAGATGAGTGACATTGTTTATGCGGGCTATGAAGTTCGTGAAGGAAACACTGACAGGGTGAACAGGGATGGAAAGATCGGGGATTTGGGAGCAGATTGTAGCAGGTGGGGGTCCTGCATGTCCACTGCCTTGCTCAGAGAGAGCAGCGTAGATGTCGTCGACGAAGGTGAGCGATCTGATGCATGCAAGTGGTACAGTGCCATCTAGAAGAAAATGAATCATCTGCTGGCCCCCAGACCTCCGCCAAGGAGCAAGGCCAATCAAGACATCCGGCAGCCGGCCACCGCTGAGCGCAAGCATGTCCTGGAATTCTCTAGGCAAGCACCCGATGGGCGCGGCCAAAAACTCAGAGCCATCTGTACGCAGAGTATTGCGGATATCTCTTGAGATTCGCATGAGTTTAATCCAACCAAGATGCCCGGGGCGTGAGGATAGGATTGTTGTTCTGGGATGAGAGGGGCACCAGCGAGCCGGGCGTGCACGTTGAGGTGCCTGCAGAATTCACGCCAGTGATGGTTGAAAGTCCCGACCACCGAGTGGCTTGCCCCGCTCAAGGCAGATGCATCGATCTAATACGCCTGCGAGCAATCTGGAGTATGATATCTGAAGGTACGAGAGTTTTGCCTGCGGGCAGGGGCATCTCAACGGAGAATCTGTGGCCCATAAGTCGAAAGATGGGGAGAAAGTAAGAAGGGAAATGAGAAGCGTTAGCTTGGCGTCCGGAAGACATCGGTGCTGAAACTATGCATCAGGAAACGTGACAACACACACTGGCTCAGCATTAAGCGGAAGCACACCTAGTTCATTGAGGTTAATTTCGCAGCAGATGCGACACAACTCCTGGCACTTCTGGTTTAAGTGTTCAAATCGGTTATTATCGTGACCTGCGTTCTGAGACCTAATCCGGAAGCTGGTATGAGTCGCAGAATAGGTGTTATTTATTGTAGGAGGTTCCCATCTCTCATTGATACAAACCCGTTTTGTGATAAGAGGAACCGTGCTTTCCTACTACCTTCTTTTATATGTGTGTCCCCTTGCTTTGTCCCTTTCTCTCTTTGGCTGTTAAGTACTTTGGCATATCTCTTCTGCGTTATCTCCACTGGCTGAGCCTGAAGTTACATATAGCCCTTGGTAGCACCTCAAAATTAGCAGTATCGATGCTAGCCGATCGATATATCTCAGCTCTCCTCGTGCATATTCATGACACAAGTATATATTTCCATATTTTGCAGGTAGCCAACCCTTTGGTGGGGTCATATGATTGCGACCTTTTGAATCTAGAAGAGATATAGTCTAGTCTTTTTCTATCGATGTATGTATGTAAACGATGGCACATGCGGGGGTCTTTGCGTGGATGAATAGGGGTAGGGTATTGAGTATTAAACTGGTTACAGACAAAAGTCTATTTGGGTGGTGGTTCCAATCTCATAGAATCCTTACAATTGAATCAATGGGTTTTGATGACAAGGGTCGAATTTATCCGAGGCTTAAGGGTTAAACAGGATAATGCATCCATTGGTACAGAGAAATGATTCGCAATAAGATGGAGAGTCGTGGCCGTCTTGATCAAAGGGGAGGGGCACCGTGTTATCATTACATGTTACTGTATTTGTGGAGCAATGGGCAATGGATGATTCCAAAGACAATGAGAAGACTGGTGCCGCGGTCAAAGTGAGTGATACTGCTGCCTTTTACATCATGGCAGTGTGAAAGGAATGGTTGGGCTGATCAGGTAACAACACGTTTGGAGAGAAAGGGTGTGTGCGTGTGATTTTAGGAAAGTCGTGTCAGCAGGGAAAACGGAAAGATCATTGAATGGTAGCGAGATCTGGATACTGTTAGAAGCCAAGTCATGCGTGCAGATCAGGGCCGTGAAATCCATGCAGTGGGACAAAAGGTAGAAGGACAAAACATGGGAAATCGTCCAGTGGACAACGTTGTGAGAGGGAGGTCTGCTAAACCCGTGCTGCTTGAACATGGATTTTCAAGACCAGACCAGTTCTTCACTGATCAGCAGACTTTAGCCAACGGGACGGAGTGTTCTTTTCGAATATCCCCTGTATTATTCCGTGTAATTCCCAGGTGGGAGACACGGTCTGGAATGCGTCGACGTGAATTCCCTCTAGGGCAAGTAGAAACATCAAATCAAGAATGTGGTGGATAGGTAGTTTGTATGTCACCGTGATACAGCAGCTTGCGGCCTCACTTCCATCCCCTTCCGCCCCAAATACGGAATCCAAAAACTGTTCCATTTCGTCTCCATTGATTCGAAAAGGCTCGGACGTAATATGGGAGGGCGATGGGTATAATGATATAGTAACCCTTTTCTGACGTTCAAAGATCTGGACCTGTATGCCAAAGGTTGTGGGGGTCCCTGCTTGGTGTAGGGACTCGACGATGTGAGGTATGTTTCCGAAAAATGTCCAATCTGGAGCCCATAGTGTCAAATACACCTTGGTGTGTGCGTTGTAAGAGATGCGGTTTATGAAGAGATACACGTGGTTTGAAAAGGTAGAGTTCTCTTCGTCGTTGTCTGTGTAGTGAAATGTATCCAGGCATCTCAAAGCTAACCGTCTCGTTCGTCTATTCTTGGGCGGTCCTTCCTGAGGCTGGTAGTAATGACCAAGAAATCTTATCTTAAAAGAAGACAGAGTGGAACTGGTCCAGTCCAAGAAGTCTAGACACTTGTCTATGTCAAAGACCCACTCAGAGCGCTCTGGATCGATGACAATCTGGCACTCGGACAAGCGGTCGGCACCAGGAAACTGCCATATCACGCCCTCCATGTAGGCTGATTCCAAGGATGTCCAGTGACCCGGAAGGAGATCAATGCCGTAATACTCGCCCTCACGAGACACCTTCCGGTCTTCATGCGCCTTGATGTGGATCCTGCGTACATTCTCGAAATGGCATTGAGCAATAATGGGCTTCCAGTGGGTTTCAAACGCTTCATGTCGGCGCTCGCACACGATCAATGTCCGGACGCGTTTGGCTGTGTCCGGATGGCGCATCATGTATTCGAAAGCCCCTCTGATGTCAGCGCGTTGGGGTGATCCATGTAAATCAAGCGTCAGTGGCAGTTCAGCGGTGCGCGAGACGACGGTTTCAATATGATCGGGAAGCAAGCCTATTTGGTTGGCCCACATGCGCGGAGTGAGGTCGTTTGCAATATACCTCCACCGTCGGCAGGTGTGCGAGAGCGTTACGGCGGAGCCTATGTACCCCCAAGGAGCACTGTCTCTTCCGTGCTGGGGAACATCCTCTTCTCGACGTTCAGAGCCGATGTTATCCGCACCGTCAGTGCGCTTGGGTGCGCGGGGCGGGTCAACGTCTGCGGCAATGAGGAATATCTCGGAGAGTATTTCGCTTGGGATTATCTGCGTATGGTCGGTTTTTTGGGCGTTGCTGCTAACTAAGACGGACCGAAAGATGTGGTGTGGTTTCGATCCCTTAAGTACTATCGTCACGGCGTGCTTTTCGGGTGACGGGGGTTGGCTGATCATGTTGTGGAGGCTTCTCATACACTGGGGGACGGTGTCTAGAAAAAGCACTTCCCTCTGTCTGTAGAGAGTATTCGGTAGCTGGATGAAGGGCTGTGATAGCCTATTGCTCAGCGCGTGCTAAATATATGATGCACCCATGCGCTGCTCATGTGGCATGTGTTTCCGAGAGCCAGCTCTGCGAGGTCTTTGTTTTGTTTGAAGTTCAGTGTTGAACAAGAGTTTGCAATCAGTAACATGCTAAGGTGGAATTGAAATGGTTCGTTGATAGATTCCGAGCAAGTACTCAACGCAACTTCAACTTTCATCTGTCTGCCAAGTTGCTTAGTGATAGTTATGAAGCCCACTCAATCCTTCCGCCTTTGGTAGACCGGATTCAGGTGGCATTGCAATGGGTGTCAGTATCCCGGTCATGTATGTTGTCCTTTTTGGCTGGACCTAATCATGTTCCTGTCGAAATTTTGCCAGTCCTATATCACTTTTAAAGAGGTGGGCGGTAGAGTCGGGAAATGAAGTCAAATTGAAGAACCGGGCCATTTGCGTGCAAATTTGCCTCCAGAGGCGGATCTGCGTCTGAGGGTTCGTTCCCCAAACTGACCCCAAACACCCCGAATCTGCCACCCTGAGTTCCTCTACTACTCAGCTCCGATGCACGCATGCTGATCTATTGCTGCTTCGTATGTTCATGTTTATGAGAGATGGGATGCGCAGGAGAATGGGTGGAGCAATGTTGTCAATATGCACCTGAAGGACAATATGCATGATTGGATCTTGCGGGCGAAGTCCATCAGCCTACAGTATACGGAGGCAGGAGCTCATTTGCCATATACTGATGCATTTCCCAGCTATATTCATTTGAGAAAGCGCAGAAGTCTTGTACATAAAGTTACATGGCCCGAATAGCACACAAATACATGTCGCAAAGAACGGCACGGTGTGAGGCAGTGCATCTTTGTCAGCAATCGACGTCCAATTAGACTGGTGATTTCCATCGGCACATTCCCATGCTTCATCTGTCGGTTTGGCTCACACAGCCTTTGCGTACACAGACTCGGTTGGTCAACGTTGACAAACCATGGCATCTACGATATAACCTCCGAATAACTGTGGTCGTTTGTAACACAAAAGCGTCGAGAAAGACCGAGGTCTGGCAGCCGAAGTAGTGAAACCCGAAGACCTATGCCGCCGTCGAGCCGAGCATTTCCCTTCATGACATCAGAGTCCTCCTCCATCTTGCCCATCATACCGGAAAGCGCCAATAGTATGGGTGAGTCTGACCTTTTGATGCGCGGCGGGCCAGTGTTTCTGCGGTCAGTGACTAGTCACCGTCAGTCATGACTAGTCGCCGTCGTGGCCATGACCGTGGGCACCCTTACCACGACTATTGGGAGCCGTAAGTGGAAACGCGGTGAAATTGCTAGACGCGGAAGGACGCGGGACAACACTCGTCGGCCACGTCGGGCCGGCCTCGGGCATGTTTTGAGTGGTGTCGCATGCGCCATGCACTCCGCCGTTCGTCGCGCCGCGACTTGCCCCTGCTGCTCTCACAGCTGCAGTGTCTGACGAAGTTGTCGCGGACATGAATGGTCATGACTATCCACGGGCATGACCGTTGGGCTGACCGTGACCAACACCACAAACCGGACCCTTCCATCGACGTTTGAAGCATTTCGTCAGATCCACTGTTCGTCGTCTTCCTTAAACTCAGCCTTCAAGGTTTTTTTGCACACCGGGCATGCTATAGACCTCGCCTTGTTTCCAGGCAGGACAATCACAGCCTTTCCACTGAGTTTGTGCCACAGACAAGACGCCTGCTCAGCCGTGGCAGTCTCTTGTTTATTCAGGTGTTGCCCGTCGGCGCTGCCCTTCCCTTCACCGCACGCGTCGCACAGCCAATCCTGTCAGTTTATGTGAGTTACAGATCCCAAAACCAAACGGAGACGGACAGTACGAATGTACATTGACAACAATGAACCAGTTCCTACCGTGCCCTCCACCTGTCGGCTCAGCCTGGCGATTTGGCGCGGAAGTGTTCGTCAAGATGATATTGCATCTTCTTTTTGTCACAAGACAAGTCTAGGAATTGCACCCGGAACTGGCCACAATGTGCAGGCAGGCAATCGTATAGCAGGATGGATACGTCGAACGATGGCTGATGAAATGATGACAAGAACTCGGTGATCAGACATCTGCGCTTGATAAAGCAACCGTCTCCGACATAATAGCCGCGCGATCGGTCCTCACTTCATCCTCATGTGTCGCATTCGCTATTTTACGCTCTGGTGTGGAGTGTTTTGCGGTCGCGCCGACATCAGCGGGCGTATTCTTGGACGATGAGATCCCTGACTTGAGCACGGACTGGAACAACAACGAGACAGCAGGTACGACCGGCGTCGCACTCTGCACCGGACGAGTGGAAACTCGAACTGGTGGCAATTACAAAGGTACCGGCCCCGGGGCGACGAGCGAACGAAGTCGGTCAAAGATCTGACCGAGTTCTTGTTGAGAAACGCGCGCCTCGATGTGGGCCACACAACTATAATCGGGATATACATGACGAGCAGTCAAGCAAGGCATGATGACATACCTGATACAAGACGTTGACGGTGTTCTGAATGTTAACGTCATAACGCGCAGATAAAAGCGCATGCTCATTCCGACTGATCGCGAACTCAAGCTCGCTCAACACGTGTTGCTCGAACACGCCGAGTCCACCACGTGTAGCATGTGTGAGCTTTGAGCAGAAGGAGCGGGAGCAAAGCCAATCACGGCGTACACCAGGACCGGATTCCCAGATACCACGTTCAATGGCGATCTAAGGGTCAACGCCAAAGAGCTCGTGACCGTTGAGTCCACCTGTGCCACGTCACAAGCATCTCAGCCGTCTTGCCACGAGTCTGTGAATCACCTCGGCGCACACAGGGGAACATCGAGAGCAACAGGATCTCGTAAAGGGTCACATCGGCCTTTATACGACTTGCCCTAAAGCTGAGCATGACCATGTCACGACCTCGGGCCCGCCTGGCAGGACAGAATCTGGAATGAAGAATGATCCACACCATCTGGCATTCATAAGAACAGGCATTCAGTTACTCGATGGGCCGGTTGGCGTGAGTCAATAGCGTAAAGACCTTGGCTCGTGGTAGCAGCCAAACGGCATGACGATGGTCGTGACTGCGACGCCGGGGTCAACCAGCCCCCACACGCGCAGGCGCATGAATGGCGGGGAAGAATTTGCTAGCAAGACGGGCAGTAATAGTGGATGGCGGTCTGTCTACACTGGTCAATCAAGTTTCCATCAGAAGTCGCGTGTAGTCTCCCGTGGGCAGTCGCGTGTGGCGGAGAGAAGTGAGCAGGATTTGGACGCTAAGCGACACGTGGGAGGGGTTGGTCTGTCTCTTGCTCCGTTCACCCATCAGCGTCCTTTTCCTCCTTCATATTCCCACTGGTGGCTGCTCCTCTCTCACTCCTATCTCTAGTTTTGTATCTTGGAGTGCAATGGAGAATTGCAGTGCCGTGAAATCCGACTTTGGAGCGCCGGCAGTGGTCGAGCAGGGCCGAGGAGTCCTGTTCCGGAGTCCTATCTATCCGGTGAGTGTGCATCTTCTTCAGCAAACCATAAACCTTAGTGACGACGGAAAAATTACCCAGCCGTATTGCTATGCATCTGCTCTCCCGCCGGAGTTGCTTCACAACGTTTTTGTTTCCCTGGCGGACGATGATCATTATGATCCTGGGAAGCATGAAACCCCGACTATTTTCGCCATGCGACTCGTATGCCGTTTCTGGAAAGCATCTGCTGACGATACCGCGGAGCTATGGGGCCGTCTATTCTGTTTCCCGACTTCGGAGTGCTCGTGGATGGCGCGAGCTCTTCGGCACACAAAGCGCATGCTTCTTGACTTGAACTATCTCGCTCCACCTTTCCGCTGGGTGAGACTAGCGAAACAAGAGATGGATGAGGCGTTGGCCGAGGGAAGGGTCCGTCAGCTTAGTCTCACCGTGTCGGAGTCATCCGGATATCGCCTATGTCAATGGTCTTCTGTTTTCTGGAAGCTGAACCCCGCGAACCTGGAGAGGTTGGAGATCAAGGCGGATAGGTCATTGACCTACGGAGATCTCATGGTTATTGACCATACTGCATTTTGCGGCAAGACACCCCACATCCTGCATCACCTGACATTGGACAATCACGCACTGAAGGTGGATCGGGAATCCCGCCTGTTCGACACTCAAAACTTAGTGTATCTCAGTCTGACTGCGTGTTCACTACCCTATACCGTCTTCGGACTCCTTCAGGTGGCGGAAAATAACCCCAATCTGTCCACGCTCATACTTTCCGTCGGAAGCCGCACCTTTCGGTCAATGGAAGAGCATGAGACACAGCGCAGAGAGCGATTCGATCTCCGGCAACTTCGAACTCTGTCATTGACAGGCCGCTTTGACGTTCTGATCCCCGTTCTCGGAGGCATCCGTTTGGAGCCAAAGCAATGCTCGCTGGAATGCGATGTTGAACTGGATCGTCCCACGAGGCAGCCGGCTGGGGTCACACGCGATTTGCTGAATGGCGCGATCCAGCCCTACCTGATCGAAGCATTTGGAGACGGCGCAGAGGCCAAATGTTTGGAGTGCACGGCAAACTGCATGCCGGTTCCATTCTATTCAGTAGCTCTGCGCATTCGCGGCACTTCGTCGTCCACAGCATCTTTCCTACTGAAGTTGGGATGTGAGATCTCCGGTTCCAGTCACTATGTGAATGGAATCTTCCAATCTCTCCTGGATGAATGGATGTTTTTGGGAGCAGTAGACACCATCCATGGGACGCGCGCCCCGTCCACGTTTTGGCCATCCACGATCCCTCGTCTCCCTTCGTTGCAAACGATCCGCATCACTCGTTATCTCGGCGAGTTGGGAAATGCCCTTCTAAACCAGGATCCCGGACAATATCCCAAAGGTCTGGTGAAAGTCGAGTTGTCAGACATAAGCCTCGAGGAAGGAGCACTGAACTCGTTGAAAGGCTGGCTGAAGGGGAGCCTCCAGGATGGCAGTAGTTCAAGGACTCTTCGGTTTGTCAGATGCGCTGTAAAGGGCACAACTGGAAAAGATGAGGAGCGCTTTATCTGAGGGTTCTAGGGAAGAGGAACATGATCCGGGTTGCCTCTCAGGTCGTTGTACACCGTCCTGGAGGTTAGGTTTAGATTAGAAGGGGTGGCTAAGCAATGCATGGATGGGCATCAGAAGGGAGAGGGAGGGGATGAAGGATTGGCGGAGGGGTTGTTGAAGGACATAGAGGAGGGTAATTACAGGCCTGCACATATTAATGTGACTGCCCCATTCATGAATAGTGCCTGTCTCGGCCATTCCCTTAGTCTGTCCGCGCATATTACCCAAAAAAGAATCGCTGCCGATAGTCACTGACGCATGTCCTCAGCAACGTACATCAATGGGCAGACGACTGCCGCGGGTCGGTTGGAGCGTAATTATGAGTGAAAGGTAGACCGCAAGCGTTCAGGAGCGAACACGAGGTCACAATGTGAAGTCGACAGCGCAGCTCTGTTCACTGTACCAGATCTATTCATCTCAAGCGAATGCACTCAGACACAGAATCAGGTTTGTTGTGCTCATTTGTTACGTCAAAATAATCATAACAGTGCATATTGTCATGACATGCGATTCAGCGGATTTTTATACAGGAATAGTGGGGACATGTCGAATGTATCGAATGTGGTGCGCGTACGAAGAGAGATGGTTGAATAGCAGAGGTATGAGACTGATACACCGATTGGGCCAGAAGGCAATATATATTCTTGTCAAAATTGGATAGCATAACCTGTAGTGTGAACCATGACTACAACGGGATGTTTCTTTGAGATTTCAGTCAAGAGTCTTCGAGACGAACAAGACACCTCTAACATCGATGCAGAGGCTTCGTATGCAAGTTATCTACACAGCCTGGTCACGGATTTGATGTGTGTGTGAGCCTATAGAGGGTGTTCCATACCCTCCATATGGCTTTTATAATGGATGGCAATGCGACAAGACCTCCAAGAAAGACGGAGGCGGCGATCATCGCTCTCGGGGACAGCAAGAATGAGACAAGAAGGGTAGTACATGATAGCCCCGTCACCGAGATCACGGCGCAAACGAGAAGCGCGCGCGACACCGCGAGAGACACCGGATCGATGGGAGCATCAAATGTTGTCTGCTGGGTCGCGTCAAGACTTTCGGCTGAAGACATAGTAGATACGTACCTGAACACCTTCTCGCTGCCTGAGATCGGATGTAACTCGCAATAGAAAAAGCAACACCACCGCAAACACTGAGAAATTGGCCGAAGCTGACAGAAGACCGATACCGAGCGGCACGGGGATTTTGTTCACTATTAGAATCCGGATAAAATGGAAATCAATGCTCCGGCTGGGGTGAGCAAGCAACGAGGGGTAGCAAAGCACCACGCTCACATTGCGATGACACCAAACTATCAGAGATCAGTTTCTGAAGAGTCCGAACCGTAATAGCAATTGGCGCTCACAAGCACCGCGGATGTATCTCTTTCAGCCTCTTGCTGCGCAGCTGCGCCCCTCGTGGATGCTGGCGGGTAATAGAACACGGAAGACATGCCGGACGCTGAAGAAAATGTCTGAACTCCGGTTCTTCCACGACGTTGGCTTATATACGGCAAGACTAGTTTTCAGTCAGCAATGCAAGGCAATAAACGAGGAGTTTCAAATACGCGCTTGGACATATGGGCACCCGATGATCACCTGTGGCGGAGTATCCATGTCCGTTAAGCTCATCAATGTGGTGCTGCTGGTACATGTCTACGTATGCAGAGGTAGTTGCGGGACTCAGTAGAGCGGACAGGCAAGGTTAACCGTGGAACATGGAGGTGGGAGGTACGAACGCTCAAGGTCATTTGGCTCCAACAACGTGTTCTTGATCAGCTGTTTAGCTTGCCTCGGGCCATCATCCGTCTTTGATGGCAATGAACTGAGCACAACTTCACTGCCAGCGTAATCTGCGCGTGTAAGATTGTCATCGTCGGCGATCCTGCAACCCGCCCACGTTATAATAAACTCTTTCAATCCCTTCCCCTACCGTAGGGAAACATGAGCATATGTGACCTCATGTCCCTGTCCTTCCGTCCAAAATGGGTGACTTTTGTACGAAGAGTTGCAGATGAGTGACTTAACGCCGTTCGTTGCTGTCTAATATTGTGAGGAATAGGGTCTGATGAGCCTCTCAGTCGACGAATCTGACTGTTGTCCCATATCCCATATGGAGATTCAAAGCTGCGATTGGAAAAGTCCAATACTTCCTTTGAAACCCATAACGGGCGTAACTTTTGTCATGATCTCTACGTCGAAATGAAAAGTTCCCGATATAGCATACGTGCAGCGCTCTCATGTGTTCTCATGTTGATGTCTAGTACTTATTCTGTTCTCTCTCAGACCTCAGGCCAGCCGCCCGCATAGTAGTAGTTAAATTGATTGTCGCTTATCGGTATGCATGTGCATTTATCAAGGGTTCCTGGCATCATCTCCAGGCACGATCTGAATTGAGGTGAATGAGTAGTTACGTTCAGCTGATAGGCCACACCTCCCGAAAGTAACTGACATGATTATTGGGCGCGAGTGGATCAGTACTCAGACTAATTACATTAGGCGACTACATTCAGATGGAAAAATAGACTGAAGTGACTACTGGTGCTGCGTGCGACCGTCTATTAGTGCCGATCAAATGCCTATTCTCTACGGCAGCATCCTACAAACGGTCCATAAGTCTAGCAAGAAGGTTTGAACCCACATCACGTCCCAAGAATGGCAACATGATGCGCTTTGCTTGTTTTGTCTTCAGGGACGCTTACTTGGATCGGGACATGCCATGGCATGGAAAGCCGCGAGATGAGAAGAGTCCCAATGACATCATCACGATACAAGCTTTGATTATACACTTCAAAGTCTACAGACGTCTTCACGCCCGTTTGCGAAAAGATCATGGTGCACTCGCTTATATACATTGTCCAAACACGAAGAGCTTATAAACCAAAGAAGGCACTGTCACAGTCTTGTCAATGGCACCAGTAAGGGCATGCAAAAACGAGAGGGAGCTCCCTTGTGACATCTCTCAAGCAGCTACTGCGCCACCTGGACATAATATATGTATCTCATGGGGAGGTTATGCCTCTCAGTGGAGGAATGTGAATAGGCAGCCTGTGTCGAATGGAGAACCCCAATGCCCCGCTGATGGTCCTCTACCTGATTCAAAACTGCGAACCGTCCGTCTAACCGAAATATATATTACAAGCTGCCGCTACTAGACCTTGTTAGCAGTCAACTATCGCATCGGGAGCTGATTGCGTCAGTTGAAAAGCCGTTTGATGATCTGCCCTAGCGATCGGGATCTGGTGACTCGATGAAGGGGCCATGGTAGCTGAAGTCATTCATCTACAAGAGCGCGGTAATGTATTTTCTAGTGTACAATCATAGCTTTGAATAAACCCACTGTCAACCCTGATTATATTGTAGTCTCTATTGGTCTTCTAAACTCTCATAATCTTTGCAGTCCTTGAACACTCACGGTCACCATATCCTCCATGTTGACCAATAGTGAGCGGGTAGACGCCTTCTCGGGTTGTTGCTGCGGTAGTCTGCCACGAATACAAACAGAAAGAATCGAAATCAACTCCCCGTACCTATATGTCGTCATCGTGTCAAAGCCCGGCGCCTACCCCTCAATAACATGACCTGATAGAAGAGGGGAGCTAGATTTTGTCGTCTAGATATCTTGGCGAGCCTCACCCCATCACACAACTTGTTCGAGACGCTTCTGCGTGCAATGATACACCTGTTTCACCTGTCGCAGTAGACACGTGCATAAGCGCCACAAGCCCCTCGCGATCAAGGAGAGGAGGTAATCTCAGGTCTGATAGTCATCCTCTCGCCAACCCGAGAAAGTTACATTTCACGTGTTTCAATGGCCCGATGGTTATGTATGACACGTGGTGTCAGAATAGGGCCCGCAAACAAACGCACAAGCCATGTGAGACTACACGCGTGTATTATGATTTGACTCTCAGTCTTATATTCTTGTTTTGAACTGCCAGATGTGGACGCAAAGCAAAAGACGTCTGTGTTTTGACAAGAAAAAAAGTATATATACCACGGCATCCGCGACAAACTGCTGAATACAAGCATTCTCAAGGAAGACAACGGCATATTCTACTTGCGGCGATCATCTACTCGAACGCTGCTCGCGGTGAGTTGACGCCACCGACCCAGACCTCAGCCAGTCTATGCCGACCAAACGTCAGTCCACCGGGCCCTTCAATACATCGCGCAGTGCCAGATTCTGCTGACCGATCAGCGGGTGAAACGACAGGAAATGACGTGCCGGACTCACGGCACGCTCGATCTCCGCAAGTTTCTGCTTCTTCTGCGTTGAGTCGTGCTGAAGACCAGCCAACAGGCCCTGAGCATATACAATCAGTAAGTAGAAGTGCGGACGCGCAGCGACGAGACATGCACCTTTGCCGTCTTGTTGCTGAGGCCTTCCCAGGGCACAAGGTTCTCAAGTGGTATCGGATAGCAGCCCTTCGCGTAGAGTTTCTCGTGAAGCTCGTTGATGTACGCTTCCAAGCTTGCCTGATAAATGGTCCTACGGTGGGATGCAGGCTTTGTTTTACTGCCTTACGTTGAGTACAGCACATATATTGCAATGGAATAACACTGGCACTCACATTTCTTGAGAAGTAAATATAGACCTCTCCATCTTGTTTATCCATGTCCTTCTAAGTTTAACCGCTGCTGTCTGTTTCTCAGCGTGCAGTCGAGCATATGGGTGAGTCTCGACCAGCTTCGAGTGTAGCTTCAGAGTCCGATGGCAACCCCCATAAGGCGCGGGTAGATCGTGAGTAGCAGGAGGTAGTAGAGAGTCGGTGTAGGTCCTCTGGCCACGACGCAAAGACGTGGTGGACATCGGGGCAATGGCAGGCTGTGTGTAAGACTGGCCTTTCGAAGTCAAAGGGTTGGGAGGGCCTATAGTAAACACACGCAGTGAGAAGACCTTACAGGCCCCAAGTGGGAACGCCCTCGTGGGCAGTCAAACGATCTATATGCATGGCGCGCATCCGCGTACTGTATGGAGTCAAATAACGCCCGCGGCTTGATGGCGCCGCACGCGAAAGCGCCTCGCCGATGGCTTGTTCAACCCTCTTTTGGTGATGACGCCTCTGTCAACGTCCGCCAACTATAAGTGGAAAAAGATTCTCGCGCTGGGACCGGGCGCTGAGAAAGGCAATCCCGGCCAACTCAAACGCCGTTCCCACCGGGTATTCATAGTTTACGCCACTAGTGGCCACCCGCCGATGTCCCTCCGCGGTCTGGTACTTCTCGGCTGGCGATGTAGCGCCGATGGATCTCAAGTCCGAACAACTCTAACTTTCCTCACAGAAGCTGTACGTTGCGATCCGTTGCAATTTGAATTTCGCCCCTTCGTGGGAAAGTTCGTCGTCGCCCTGGCGCCAGTTGTTACTTTGTTTTTGCAACACTTCAGTGCCCTCAATGACCAACGTCAGAGTCGACCCTTGGTCACCTGCGAACGAATGAGTAAGCGTATCGCCATTTCCAAGGCCAGGGGGCCCAACATGTACGGTCAGGAAGACTGAGAGTGATGTTCTTTGCACGGTTCAGACGCGTTCATCAGGATGCCGCAAGGTGCGCGCGGTGGTAGTAAGAGCTGGTGTGAACTAAGTAGTTCCCTGCAAAAGAAGGCTCTCTCGCACTTGAACTCGCATGCACGTAGCGGTGCCCTGCGTTTCGGCAAATGCGATGTCTGTACCGAACACGTCAGCTTGCTGTAATTCTCGACCGTGACTTGAGCTGAAATCGGCGTTGCACGTTTGATCGTGATAGGATTCTTCAACTTACTGAACGCCAGGCTGAGCTCACGGCGCTGCCCAGAAAGGAAAATGACGTGAATGATGCTCTCCGGACTCTGCGGCCCGACAGCCGGGAAAAGCAACGGAAGCTTGCCCATCTCGAACCCTGATCAGGTTCAGTTTCGAACTCGGCGTGGCGCGTCACAGATCTCCGGTCGAAAGGTACAACGGAATGCAGGATCTGGAGCTTGTTCGGAAGTATCGCGCACCTCTCATCTCGACGTCATCATGTCTTCCGAGACATATGAGGGTTATCCTCAACATGCTCCTGGATACTACGGCCAGTACGACTGGTCTCAGGTCCGGTTCATGATTCCTATATCTTCAGTCAAAACTTACGTACGAACAGTCATCCCCTGGTGTGTATGCGGCGTGGAACCGATCGCAATGTTCTACGACGACTAGTGGACGACAGTCTCACAACCAGCTCATCGGCTCTGTACATCACAATCAGCACCAGTATACTGATGGGAACCTGTCCTACGGTGTGGAGCCTACCCATGTGTATCCCTACATTGACAAGCAAGTGCCAGTCTCTATACACAGCCCTCCTGCCGAGGTTCCTGCATATCATTCGAGTGCAATACGTTCGACGACCGTGCCTTTGGACTCCCCAGACTCTGTCTCTACAACTCGCGCTTCTCTACTCGACGCTTTTCACGCTCAAACATTTGCTTCATCTCACTCGTTGAACAAGGACCACGTGCCCATGGGCGACTTTGAGGACCCACGGCATACGAGCGTCCTCGATTCGCATAGCAAACACTATCAGAACGACTCGGTATGCACCACCCAGCTTGGTGTCGACGGTTCCCTTTGCATGACTGTCCCCAATGTGCACTATCAGCTTGGTACGGGAAGCTCGTGCGAGCCGGCGACCCCGATGATGGTCAATCGTCACTCACCAACACCAGATACCATTGAACCAGCACCCATGTTCCAGTCACCAAACGACAGCGCACCACTTGCATCCTTATCCTCGCATCAGAGGGCTCATCTGCCAGCGCTGGGCTCGGGTGCCGACCTACTGCAGTACTACGTGGACCTTGATCGTGAATTGCTCCAGACGTCGTGGAACCCAAGCGATATCTTCATCAAGAGTGGCTCATCTGAATCTGGAGACTATCAGCTTAATCTCGAGTCGGAGGAGTCGCCAGTGGCTGAGATCACGAGGCGGAAAAAACCCTCTCACCAGTGTCGCCTGCGTTATGTGTCTGAGGCTGTAGGTTTTCAAATAACTGACCCGTAGGCCTCGACCTCTATCGCGTCACACAATAGCTGACGGGGATCATTATCAAGGGACAGCATGACATGTCATGAGAAGAAGCGCAACTACATCGAGAGTCTTGGTACGTCGATCATTGTGGTTACATAGAGCGACATACATTCTTTCTGCTTGTCAGAGAATTATGTGCACTGGCTGCGCTCTAAATGCGAGCTCAGCGGAGTCCAAGCGGAAGAGATACAACAGATGTCGGGTGAGCGCCTCTCAGAGCACGAGGGCTTGAATACACGCAGCATCAGGGTGTGTCCCATTTTTTCCCTGTGCACATCCCATCTGACTACAACTCCAGACGATGATTGTACACATGCATACGGTGCTTCGTACAGACCACTCCAATATCCTCCGAGAGGAGTGTGATGTAAATTGATTCAAGTCGGACTGCCTGTTGCCCGAGTCACTCATCGAGTCGCATAGTTCCTTGATCTGCGTGAACGTGTGTTGTGTCGGGACGGGAAAGGTGTATGCATTGGTTCGGCTTAGATGATGCATGCCGCTGATAATTATGGGTTTTGATGTTCAACAACAAGGGTTTCAGAGCTCACAGCAAGCACGAATACTGATGGTGTTCTGTTTGTTTCAGACTCGCGTTCTCGGGTCGGGTCTCGTGGCATTGTCTCAATATCTGTGTTATGCCAGATGCCTGTCAGAAAGGAAAGTCTCATTCTCACCAGTAAGTACGTAGCGTACTGCCTTGCTTTAGTACTCCGTTCGTTTTCCGCGCGTCGGCTCGTCATCGGATGTGTCTGGTTTTCTGTGTCATGATCCGATCCAAGATGGAAGGGAATCATTTTCATCATGCGCCTACAGCGCAAGAGGTTCATTGCCTGTCCCAGCTCGGACTCATAACCCCCATAACATCAGCCAAAGCTAACATACAAACGACTATCCTCCTGTGGCGGTGTATATAGGGCGCCGGACCGATAAGACTGCCTTGTTACTGCCGTGTGACCGTCACACAACCAGCGCACTGGCCCTGTACTCCACCATCGGTTCCGGCATACTGATTGAGAGCCCGTAGTATGGTGTCGACCCTTATGTGCATTCCTGCGTCAGCAAGCGGCGGCTCGCTACGTATACTGCTCCAACTGCAGCTCTGACATGCCTTTCGAGGGCACCCAATCCATGAAGTTTCTGCTTCTATGTTCAGTGTTTTCATGTCGCTTATTCTCCCCCATCACACTTACCGGAGGACGTACACCGCTACATGGACGAGTTTGAGGGCTCTGCCATGTGGGTACCCTCAATGCTCACATATACCGGGGACAGAGCACGTTTCTGAGCATAAAATTGGTCCCCCATCTCGACGGGGTACGGGACATCATGGCCCCAACGTAAAGTATCAAGATGATGCTCATACCTCATGCGAAATCAGAGCTTCAGGACTATCGGCCATCTGTCCGTCAATGATGGGTACCTTCGGATACTGACCCGCGTTCCAGTCTCCGAGCATATGTGACTGTGTGACCATTATCACGCTCGTCAGCAAGCCCGAAAGCTTACTACCAGTATAGGGGTGAGCGCATGACTCCGACTCACACTATACGGATTATCTTCTGTGCTTGCTTGAGACTTCATCTTGAGGTGCTTGATACGCATCTGTGGAGTGCTTTCGTGGGGAGTCTTGACTTTGAGGTCTCTTTCCTTTCATGTCGAGAGAGCGGTCGCGAGAGAATCCGGACAACGGGCGAAGGAAAATGTCCTTTCAGACTCGTTAAGACTGCGTGTCTGGGCCTGCAACATGGGTTGGCAAGTGAACGATTAATCCGAAAACAGGGTCAGACATTGACATCGACCTTGAATCAGTATCGTTTCCCGCGAATGAGAGAAAGTGTGATGCCGACAAGGATTTTATATCATGTATCAGACTTTATTCCGTGATGGCGTTCACGTAGTAATATCGGTGGGCATATTGCATTCATGGAATCAGACGCTTCTAATACGACACTCGTATCTGGCGACTAATTTCCCTTGGCGCTAGCAATGCAAGCGCATTGAGCGTCACAGCTACGCTTTACAAGGCATATCGATGGGCCAGTGCAGTTTACATTTATCCACAAGCAGATATAACAGCATGCAATTTACAGGGATACCGAACACAGCTTCACATACACAGACTTTCATCCAACATGGTGGCCATCAAGACTCGACAATGCTCCTCTATGCTCCGATACTGCCGTGAGCCTGTCGCATGTGGTCATATATCCCTACTCCCTTGTCAAAAGTCTCCATACACTCCCAGCACGTATGCGTCTGACAGCGCGAGCAGGTCATATGGTTGCAGCCCGACACTCGCTCTATGGGCGCTCTGCAACCCGGGCACTGCTTGACATCATGCGCGCGTACATACTCGTCAAAGGCGCCGTTGATCCTGTAAGACTGGTCATCACACGTACTTCCTTCGTGATATTCGACCTCGCAGTACGGGCAGATGCTCAGCAAGCACTCCGGACAGCTGTAGACAGTGTCCTTGGCACCAGGCCGATAAACCTGCTGGCAGTCCGGAGTAGGGCAGAACCTGAACTCATCCGGTTTTGCCACGACATGGGTGTTGAAAGCGGCGGCTACGAGCAGATCCCATTGCTCATCCTGTAACACGTCCTGTGCGACGTGGAGCGGAATAGGCTTCTGGCACTTTCCGTCGTCACCAAAGCAGCGTAGCGGGAAGTGACGCGTCTCAGCACCTGCAGCAAGATAACCTGCCAGACACTCCTTGCAATACACGTCTCCGCACGACAGCACGACAGAAGGTGTGGGTTCATCGAAGCACACTGGGCAGAGCGTGCGCGAATGGTCGTGTGAGTGAACCTCTTTGTTGGCGGTGTACACGGCCGTTTGTACTTCAGCGTACATCGCTTCATCACCTCGAATGCATAGTCGCCGATTTCGGATATCGAGCCAGAGCTTGTCGGTTCCGTGCTTTTCCCGTAAGCGTATCAGGGAGGGATGCATGAAGAGGCCGGGCCGTGAGGCGGGAAGGGTGACAGTATGGACAGGCTGCCTTTGGAAGGTAGCCACGAGCTGACGTATAGCTGCGATGGCGCTGGCACGCTTCTCGGGTGGACCAATGACACGTATGAAGGACTGAAGCTTACGAACCACAATTAGAACTTCGCGATTGGAGCTTCGAATCGAGTTCATCCGGTCCGCGCCAAAGGGCGTCGAGAGTATCCGGTCCCAGAGTGGTCCATTGCCGTCCATGACGAGTTCGCCTTGAACAATGTCGGCGAGCCGAGCTCTGATATCCAGCAAGCTCTTGCTATCCTCCGCATTGATTTCGAAGGTGATCGTGTCCTGCCGTTTGTTGTGATCGGGGATACGGAGGAGGCAGCCTGGGAGAAATCTGTGTACCACCTCGCGAAGGTTGGATATTGCGTCGCCAATGTGGCGATGGACGGTGCGGCGGATTGGGTACTCCAAGGAATAAACGCGAGAAATTGCAATCTTTTCGTCATTCAAGCACCGCTGTTCGATGCCGTCCAGCTCGCGGGCGGCGAGGGCTATATCAGGCGTCTCAAAGTGACACCATGCGCGAACGACACCATCTTTATATGGAGCTGGTGAGACGTCAAATCCGACGATGCGACCAAAGCCTTCAAGGCGATTTTTTGCCTGCGGGATGCCAAATCCGCGGAGGAATCGAGAGGGTTTGTCGCGCATGATATCTGTACGATGAACGCCAAAGCGTTTGCACACGAGCTCGTGGTCCACGTTCGGCGGAAGACCGCTGAGCCGTACGTCGTACTCTTTGACAACCGGAATCCCACTGTAGATTGACGCGGTAACCCAGTACCCATTCCAGTCATATCCATCGGCAGTTCGGACGGCCATCTGGGCGCCTTCGAGAGTGTCGAAACCGAGATAGAGACTAGTTGTAGGTAGCGTCCAAGAGACGCGAATGCTCGAGTCCGAAACTTGGGACCGAATCGCCGCTCGAGGTAGTTCGGGGCGCACGAATAGTTCTCCATTGCACCGCAATGCCTTCATGCCATTCAGCCCGTTGGCTACGGCAATTGCCTCGCGATGCGATTTCATCTGAACACGCGCAAAGAATGGCTTTCCACCCTCGTAAGCGCCGCCAGAGCTCATCTGCACAGCTACGACAGTCCCCCCAAAACTCTCGAGGAGGCGAACGAGGGCGTCCTTTTTTGTCCCGCTAGGAAGGTTGTCGATGACGAGATTGCGTGTCTCGTTGTGCGTGGTAACATCCTGTATGACAAAACCAGGGCCCAGTGTAATCTTGATGTACTTGTGTACAGGACAAGACATGTTGAGAGGGTGGGGTGGCATGTGAGGTCCGCACCGTGTCGAGGATAATGGTATCGGTGCTCGTACCAGCTGAGTCTGTTCGATATCGTTAGCATTCGTGCCAGATATCAAGCCATGGGCGCCCACACAGACACTTCCCTGCTCATGATCGTCATCCAGAGAACGCTTCGGCTCAGGGAGACCCGGAGGTTTCATGTAATAGGCATTCGGTGACGCTTCATTGCACTTGACCAGCCGAGTGACGGAGGCCGGTGCGTGGTGACGGTTGTGAGCGGCAGGACTGACGTCGGGCTCCGTGAGATGGTACAGCGTATGAGCAGGGGTGTGCGTGTGCGTGGGCCTGTATCTGAAAGGGTTGCTGTACGCCCCTTGTATCCCAGTATCTTCTGGGTATCCTGTGAGCCGAGGGCGGCTCTGTCCAGAAATAGATGTCGTAGACCCCGCAATCCGGCGCTCGCGATAGACTGTAGGTCCAAGAGCCCCTGAAGCACCGTCAGAGCCGTGGGAAATAAGAGAAAAGAGTACACCTGCCTTCATTCTCCCGCGCTTGTACTTCGGTCATATAATGACGGAATCGACAGGAATGCCGGTTCGGACACGGTTGCTGATTGAACCAGTAACGACAGACACCTGGAGGAGACATCACATAATTCCTCATGCCGGACTCCAGGCCGTGGCGAACGGTCTAAACAAGAGTCAGTGAAAGGTGTAGAAGACTGCCGATAACCTTTGGGACGCACCGTAGACTGTCGTGCGGCTTGGTTCGGGAAAAATGATGTCGACTCCATGGAGTTGTGGGACAGCGACGACATGCCCGCGTCTGTGAGAAGTGGGTGCTCTAAGATCTTCAAAGAAAATGAGATAAGACTGACTGAAAGTGGGGAACGAGCGGACCTTTCCCGTGGTACGGGGCATCTCCCCGTCGGGAAGCGAATGCAAGAACATGCAGCCATATTTCTGACACGCCCCGTACTGATACCAGTCGACACAGACCCCGGGAGCTGAAGGCTGCCCTCCAGAAAACGGGATGGCGGGCAAATAACCATGAGCGGACGAAGTGATCGAGTTTATCCACAAGGTAGGTGTAAACGTCGACAGAGGAGTATCAGAAACTGTAGATGCGTCTTGGTCCATGGACGGCCATGTAGCAGATGTCCTCGGAGCGGAGTGCATCGTAGAAAGAGTGAGCAAAGTTGGCAACTGTGAGATGGTGGGTGATGGTGGACTAATGCTGAGATGGGCCTGGCGAGCCGGGTCCAATGTCTCTATCGTCATCATCAATCCACCTGAGAATCGGCAATGTCAGCACTCATCCTCGGTTTCGTTCACAGTTTTCTCTATGAGTCTCGGCTTTTGACTGCTGTGGACTGGTAAGTTCTTGCCACGGATCTGGCCGTCGACGAGATGGGTGCCCCTGTAGAATATGCCTTCTCGTTTCGGTAGACCCATAGAGTCCCATCGCTCTGGAGACTTCGCTTCTCACATGTCAGCCGTTTACAATAGATCCATGGCAACGCAAAAGCAACAGCAAATCGTGTGTCAAATACTAGGACGGCAAAATAACGTGTATTTGACGCTCCATGGTCTTTTACACCGTACGTTGAGTGCATCTCCCGCAGGGTGTCTGATGGCTCAAGCCATGCACGTAGGAACATGAAGACCAATGGCGCAGTGTTTTTACACCATGTCAAATGGTGAAAGCAATACAGTTTTGTTCTCAAGCTACAGGTTCTAGCTGCCACAGCGCAGATTACGGTCATAAGGACTTATTTATATTACATAGCCACATCAAACACAGATATTTTCATGTTAACTCTCAGTGGAAGGTGCTTTACTTGTCCCATCATGAATCCGATCGGCGATGCATAACGTCGGCTTGGAACACATGCCACGGGGACGCTGAGACTGTTCATTTGGAGCTTTCTGTACCGAATTGACTGAGCGTTCACATCTGTGAAATTTCATGTGCTGCCTGGACATCTGTTTGTCGTACAACCGGTTCAAAGAGGGTCGTTACTCATCACCTTGAACTGTCGTCCTCCCAAAGACGTCGAAGCCGGCTATTGAAGCCATTCCCACCATCCGTATGTCCAATATCATTTCGAAGGGGTAGACATTTTTTTCTGCATGATTTAAGGGATAGGCAACAGGTACAACTATTTATCTCGTCTTTTGTGTTTTGCATTAGACTCCCGAGTGAGCTTGCTTGATACGAAAACCGAACTTTATTTGCGTACAGTAGCCGTAGTTGTCGCGGACTGAAGAGAAAGGGCGTCATAATCAATAGCATCGTGTCAGAGGCACTTGTTGACCCGTCGCTCATGATCTCCAGCGTCCTTGCCCGCAGCTGATGTCAGCGCTGCAGGTGGGAAAGTGCATTGTACATGTGCATGCGCAGCTTCTTGTTCTGACCGCAACCAACACCTCCATTACTGCTCATACTCTCAGGCGTGTTGGACACACTCATGACTCAATCAATCTCTCTACTGCCTATCCACAGTGGCAACCCCAAGCTCGATCTCCCCAGACCGATGCGCGCACGTTCCCATCATGCTGCCCAGCGCGTCCCCGCACACGCCCCGGGTGTCCGAGCTCATAGATATCACCCATACTCCCGTCCACAAGCTGCGTCTCAGACCATCCTCAGCCCTGCCACCTCAGTCGCCACTGGAGCCACCGTCGTCGGTCCCGCGATTGCCCCCAATCAAGCTCAGGCCGCACGCAACCAACTTCTTTCAGGGTTCATCGGTGAGGTTTAACACAACGTGAACACGGTACGATTACCAACATTTTGTGAGGCTAGATGTAGCAGTATCTACACTCTGCGATATATGGCCAACCCACATCATACCCGCCATCTTTGCGGCCCACGCACCGAAAATCGCTCGTAGCGCCTACGTTTCGGGCCCCTTTGCTCAACCTGTTTTCTCCCACCCGCTACCGCTGCCAGCACAACTTCCATCGCCACCGGATTCCCCTTCTTTTACCACGGCGGTAGACACCTTTCACGGAAACGAACCGGCCATGAATACTGCTAGCCTTCGGGGCTTCGTTATAGCAGTTCTCAAGCGCTCACGAACAAGTAGGAGTGTATTGCAGTCAGCGCTCGGCTACATCCAAGCCCTTAAATTTAAGATTCCCGATATCGCCGCCTCGAAGACCAGAGGCTGCCAACATTGTGAGCCTAGCCAGTGTGACCGCATTATTCTTGCCGTTGACATTAGCTATGTAGACGATGACACCGAAGATGCGGACGTATCACAGCCCTTGCCCTTTTACGAGAGCTTAGCGCCTGTCAACTTAGGGGAACTCAGTTCCTCTGCAAAAGGGCCGGACGTTCCAAAGGAGACATTGTCACCAGCACCGGATCTCCCATCGCCCCTACTGGATCCACGTCGCACCTTCATTGCAGCATTGATTCTCGCCAGCAAGATCAAGCAAGACAAATGTTACTCAAATCGTGCGTGGGCCAAGCTAGCAGGTCTTCCGTCGGATGAAATTGGGCGCTGCGAGCGTGCGCTCAGCAAAGCTCTAGATTGGCACCTATGAGAGAGCAAGCAGCTCCATTACGGACTTATTGAAAGCTGTAGCCAATCGCATACTTGTTACAATTGAGGAAGGTGTTCGTGCGATCTGTACAATCAAGACGCTTTTGTCACAGGAAATGACCTACAGAGCACAGATGTTGGGAGAGCTGCCAAGATTGATTGGTGGTGCTGATTATGAGCATAGCCCTCACCGCTGTAGTTCGGACAGCGCCGGTCAGGACACGAGTTGATCCTAGGCAGACGATGGTGCCCCGCTTCAAAGCCGAGTTTTTATCTGCTGCCATATGGATATATCGCTTTTGAAGAGAGCTACTGTTGTTGTACACAAATGAGTGTACCCAATTCTGGTCGGTATCAGCCAGGATACTGCCATCCAGTGTTCTGTGGTCAAAGTATCATCGTTTCTGTGTATATGCATTTGTGAGCATAGCTCTCCTTCCTTCTTCTTCAGAAGTCTCTCGTGATATCCTGTTCTACTGGTATGTATCTGACGTAGCCAAACTGTGTCTAACAAGCATGCATTTGAAGCTCCTCCCTCGCCGAAGGACGCGACTACGTACCTTTTCTGCCGCTGAACGTCAGTATTTGGACATCATATGGTTTGTAAAGTCCCCGAGAGGTCTTGAAATCAATCATGAGGTAGGTTTCCACTTGTATGGCGTCAAAACGCGCTCGAGATAAACGGGGATATAAACCGTGAATTAGCTTAGAGATGCGCACTCTGTATTACCCATCTGGCATTTCGTCATTGCACCGCTAAACTCAGGACACTTTCATTGCTAGCCTGGGGCACAACTATGGAGCACACATGAGTCTCAGTGCTACGAGATATAGATAGAACAAAAGGACATCGGTCAATGATAACGAGTACGTGAAAGGGTATCCGTTCATCTCCCCATCTCTCGGACAAATAGTGGTACACCACGGTTCACTGCACTGGCAGCCGTATATGATCAGGCAGCGTAAGTTTATTTCGTCGCAAACTACTGTGCTATCATAGCATAATCCTCAAATCGCTCCACCGTACGATCTGAACGTATGATAATTCGGGGTGGAGGAGCAGCAGCAGGTTTCAAGATGGAACCTAAACGTCGTAGTCTGCGCATTACCCCAGCACGGGTTATGGCTAAAGCTAGGGTAAGCAATCAACATATAGCGCCAGGTATCAGATATGCTCACAGTGTTTACCGCGCTGCGTGGATGACAGGGGAATGTTCACGGGGCCGGCGGGTATTATATCTTCGTTGCATCTCTGATCTGGAGCAAGTCTATCACTCACAAGCACAGTGATGCGTCGGTCATTTGCTCTCACCTTGGTCCTCAGTACGCAGGCACACTCCAGATGTAGAAGTACGTTCATGAGACTTTTCAAGCTCGAAGGCGGCAGGTAACTCTGTGAGAGCCCGTCAGTCATTGTTGCAAGCCGTTACACGACCAGACGCACGGATGTTCACGGGGCCGGCGGGTATTATATCTTCGTTGCATCTCTGATCTGGAGCAAGTCTATCACTCACAAGCACAGTGATGCGTCGGTCATTTGCTCTCACCTTGGTCCTCAGTACGCAGGCACACTCCAGATGTAGATGTACGTTCATGAGACTTTTCAAGCTCGAAGGCGGCAGGTAACTCTGTGAGAGCCCGTCAGTCATTGTTGTAAGCCGTTACACAACCAGACGCACGGATGGTGTCCTTGGGGAGTGATGTATTGCTAGGAAATGCGCATGCCGAGAAGATGGCCATCTCCTTATCGATGAAGCGCACCTGGCCGATCATTGCAGATATGTAGGAGTCGAGGTCATCTTCGTTGAAGTCAGGCAGATTGTCATAAACCGATGACTCTACCCTCGCAGGAGGGGCAGCCACAATGCAAGGATGATCTATGTTGTGACGATATTTAGCCGTGTACTCATCGTGACAACGTTGGACTTGCGTACCACCCGAGCCTTTTCCCAGTAACTGAGCATAAAAGATCACCATGTCTGCCCTCCCCATCAAAGGAGGACCAAGTGCCGCGTAATGGCGATGCGCAGGAGTGTATTTTGTGTTCACCAGCTCGATGATGCTTCCTGGCCTGACGGAATCATACAGGACGCGCGTGTACCATACGATTGGAACTTCTGAGTATAGGGGGCAGCTGGATGGGTTGACCTGTTGGCAGAACTCCGTCCATGCGTCGTCATCGTTGATTTGCTGGCAAGCCAGTCGCAAAAGTGTGCAAGCCTTCACCGCCCTTGCCATGAGTGACGGAACAGGCACTCTACGGCGATCCAGCCGAGTATGTTCCATACCCATGCGCGTGAGGATGTCGTCAGGCAAAATCTCGTCATCAGATAAATCCGAGACTTGGCTTGCGCTAGGAAGAGGCATATGGGCAGAGAAAAATTCGCAAGAGGGGTGAATTATGCATGAGAAGGGTGTAGACAGAGGCTCGGCTGAGAGGTCGCCAATGGAGATGTAATCAATAGCCAAGCTGTCTTCAGAGTCCAGCGCCCAAACCAGGTAATTGTACCATACACTGTGAGGGTGGTCAATGGGAGGAGGCTGTCCAGCACCAGGCATGACCGCACAAGACATGAATGTCAAAGGCTAATGATGAAGTTGCTCCCAGTATGCTTATAGCAGACTTGTCACCAAGCCAACATAGGATCTTTACGTTTCAAGCGCCAATCGGACCAAAGTGTCTACAACATCCGGTTGACAAATGTCTCCGGGCTCTCACACATTCAGATGCGGATATATAGGGGTTTTAAAGAATGCACCAGTGTATGGTGATTGTGGCTGGTTCAGAGATCAGCCAATCTAGCATGAGAAAGTCAGAGCCTCCACTAACATGATCTAGATTCAGGGCCTTTGAGACCCCACGTCGGAGGTATAGAACTTGATGGCATTCATGCATCCGATGGCTTGTCTCACACATAGAAGGCAATCTTTTGGAACATCAGTAGCCCGACCCTTGAATATGTTCAGTCCGGCCTACCAGCGCGCGTGCACAAATTTGATAGAGGTAGGCAAGGAACCAGCGAGTATGCCTTGCAATACACAGATCATATGTTTGGTACCACTCTGCATCAGACGGGGCAAGTGGAGGCATTTTGAGGGGCTTGCCAACTGTATTGCACTGCCGGCTTCTTTAAGAACTTCTCGTGGCTCACAGCGCGGCAGATCCTCGGAGTGACACCATCATTCACATGATAATTGCCAATGAGCCTGAACCAATGTCTACATTTTGAATCAGGAAGTTTGTGTGCACTCACACAATGATAGCGCTATGACATGTCAGCTCCCTACACCCACTAAGCCTTTTGACCATCACCCTGCAGAACACTGCGTGTTAGACAATGGGTATAGTCTCGGTCATCTCAATGTCATCCGTTCAATGTCCCATCAGACAGATGTTTGGTTCTGAAACAACGTGCAGAGACCCGGGGCAGCCACCACAATGACTACAAAAGCTTGTATGCTTCTATCGGCAATCTTCCAGAACAGTGACAGGTATCACCTGACAATCACCTGAGATTCTCATGCCGTGATTGCCAATGGGAGAAATTCTGCAGTATTCTCTCAAAATGTTCAGAAGCTTCTACGTGTCTCCATCTATTGTTCGGAATTGTACCTTTCCGGTCCAGTAGCCTGCCATACCAGTCTCCCATACATGTGGCAGAGTCAGGTCAAATGACCTTATCTGCAGCCTAGACTTCCGATGACAAAAGATGTGTTTGGCCCACCTGACGTCATGGGTGACGTTTCCAGTTGTTCCCATCCAAATGCAGAACAGGTGCACGTTTCTCGGAGCAGCAAATCAAAAGGTCGCACAATATACATTTTATATGCCGGAAAGGTTCAAGAGCGCGTATTAAGTATGTCAGGGAGTATGATGGCAGTTGTTGGTATATCAAGATGTAGAATGGCGGCGCAAGTAGGCGAGCAGAACATGAGAACAAATGGCATCAAGTGGACAAAGGTGGACAACTTGGACGCTCAGAAACCCACACAAAAAACCGACGGCAGCGCGAGAAACCTCCTCCTGGCCACTGCTTCGACTCTCTTCTTCCACGGCTGGCAATTCTCATAGCACACGTACGTCTTAATGCTTCCACCGCTGCTTCAATGTCAACTGACACCCAGGAGCAAGGCGTGGCTAGCGGGAGAGGCGATCGGGAGGGCGAGCACTTCAGACAGTTGGACGTCGCAGGTATGGGGGCTGTACTACTATCAGTAAGTCGTTCTGATTAGGGTGAGTATGGCGATGTACCTTAGCGCATGTCAAGTCAAGCTGCGGGGGGGGGGTTCGGGGATGTGGATTGCGAGCCGAAGAATGCGGTCGGAAAACACATACGCGGTGCTGGTACTCAGCCCAGGGTGGAAGTGCTGCATGTCTGGGTTCTCTATGAAGGCGTCCATGAGGGCCAAAGTAGTGGGGTCTCTTGGAATGCGCGTCACGTCCCTGTGCCTGAGATAGTCGTGGACATTGGTGATGGCGGTGAAGGCGTGTTGGATGACGTTGTGGCTGAGTGAACGCAGCCTGGCTTCTTCATCGTATGTAGACACTAGGCGTTCTCGAGAAACCGCAGCAAGGGCTATGAGTATGGCATCCGGTACCTTGAGCCCGTAATGCATGCTATTCCACCCAAGGAGTCGGACTTCTAACAGCGCATTTTCAGCGTCAGCCTCCAGGAGTCTCTCAACTCGCCCATAGCAGTCCGTGTAGAGGTTGCATTGGAAGACGAGGATCTCGTTCTTCCCTATACATGATGTACCAAGGTCATTGACAGACCAGTATATGGGCTGGGGGTTGCCTGCCTTGTCAAGCATAACCCGCAAGAAGGCCTGGATGATCTCGGGTCTATTGACTACAGTGACAGACGAATAGGCAAAGGAGGGTGGCTGGCGGTGGTCTGGCTGACTAAAGTTGGCATAGCGGCGGGGTGAAAGTGCATTCCCATTTTCAAGCTGGCCATTCATTGCACAGGACGTGCTGGCACGGACGTAGGCCGGGGTATTTGGTCGCTCATCTTGAGCGGTAGACGTGTGACACAAGACTGGTGGAGACAACGTCGACCCGAGCATCTCAGTCTGAGACGGCTTTGGTGAAGAGAGGAGGCTGACTAGAGCAGGCTCCATGACTGCAGAACAAAGGATACCGTTTTGAGAGGAAATCAGCCTGATGTCTTCACGTAGAAATAGGACCTTCAGGTTCTTGTGGGCGCTCCATGCCTTGCGAACGTGGAAGCATTGTCGCATGTATTTGCTTAATTGTACGGATGGTGACACTTCCTCCACTGCAATCACAATTTGACCACATAGTAAACATTGTGCCCATCATGCAAGCTGAAAATCTCTTGCTGCAGGGATGACCGGGTATTCATCACTCTTCAGTATGACAGGGGACATACAAAGTGCTTCCCCGCCATCAATGTTTGCCGAGGCTCTTACAGCATGGCAAGCAACAAAATTGCCATGGCCCATGCGTTCCCATCCGCTCTAGTTGAATCCTTCGCAGAAGTAATGTCAATTTAGCCTGGGATTCGATCGCTTGCTTGCACTGTCGGTCAGAAATTGATAAAAGATGCGACCATATGAGGGGGGAGAGTGCGCGCAGCGCAGGTTTGTTAACAAAATATTGAAAGTGCGGGTGGAAGGGCAACCCGGAGACACTTCCCTTCTGTCTACACTCAGTACGGCATCAGAACGCCATGCGCGAATAACGTTATGTGCCATCCCGGCAAGCCGGATATCGAGCATGTCGTTAACTGCTGTGCTCAAGCCCAATGTTTCTCCGCCAGAGATGTCAGACACGTAGTATCAAGCTAACTAAAGCTTGGCAATACTGCGTGTGGAGGTCATTAGCCTGACCTTTTGAGCAGGAGAAGAGGTGACGGAATCATACAAGAAGAAATCATTCAGGACTGGTGCCATGAAGATGGTGGTTTTTTGGCGGCAACGACAGATTTCGCGTCATAGTTTCTTGCGTGGTCTTTGCGAGCCGTTCTTGAGCACCGGTAATAGTGGAGTGTTGGCTTAGGGTCCCCTTAAGTGATTCTCTTCTATTTTGCTAACGACATCACCAATAAAGCCTGTGGATAAAGATAGCAAGCCTGCCTGTTCAGCGACCAATAGTGCCGTGCGACAAATCACACCGACCGCTCTATTTTGCAGTGTTGAACCATGCATGACAAACAGGTGGTCGTAAAGCTACAATGCCGACTCTCGGGGGCTCTCAAACGCTTTTCGAGCGAGTTATTGTCATCTATGAGCTCGAATCAGATCAGCACATGAATGCGCAGAGTCAAGTGGCTCCTTTGGATAGGATGATACCACCCACCACTTGATCCCGCACAGACGACCTTTGTCTTTCTCGGGTTTATGTGCACATGATTGATCCATTATTACGGCAAGAGAGTAAAATAGCGATCTAAACATGCGCACACGAGACATCATTTCCTACTGAGACGACTACGCGCATCTGCGCCGGGCTGCTGAGTCCAGGCTCGTGTCTTGCAAAGACCTCGTCGGAGTTGTATTGTTGATCACGAACCACTGCTCACGCATCATGAGTCCAGTGGTCGCTTTAGGAGTGGCTGGTAATAAGAGAGCCTTACAGAGTCCTAAGAGCACGATGCTCTTGACGAGAGTCATTAAAAGCCACCAGACATTCTGATGCCATAAGTACCGTCAGGAGCCGAACAGGACGGTTTTATTACCAGCATATGGTTATCAGGCCCAAACTACGCAGGTTATTAGCTAGTGGCAAAAGTGTCTACCTTACTACTAAGGGTATTGAAATATTTCGCACGAATTCTCCCGCCATCGTGTGAGCGCGTCAACATGCACTGCATTCCCGTGGCAACAGTAGGCCTTCTTCAGTTTCTCACTTGTTCTCCTGTGCTAGCTCTCCCATGTAAAACCTACCGAAAGGTTGATATCTCTGGGTGTGATAATGTTCGAGATCGAGTTTGACTCAGTCGATACAGATAGGGACCGTCAGGTAGTAATGAGAAGGAAAAGCCGTACATTGTCATCCCAACAATTTTAGATAGTTCAGAAAAAACCCAGATGAGCACGCTGTTCAAGGATGGGGAGTTAAAATGCTGGCGTTGCTCAGAACGTGGCAAGGAGACTGTATTTGCCTATTTTAATCATGTTCCGGGGAGTGCGTACCCCATAGGAGTAGTACGAGTACGAGCACCAAGCGGTATTTGTTGCTCTCAATCCCAGACATGTCTTGAATGCGTTATCTCATGTCCCAGAATTGAGATTTGAAGATTGGTCGTGTGGCCAGTATCTAGTCACTCGAATGCTCACTTGAGCCCCTTCCAGATGTTGTAATATGCTGCTCTTGTTCAGATGTTCAACCCGACTCAACGCCAGCTCTCGAGGCCCACGACAAGATTTAGATGCGCATAAATGTATCCTACAGTATCCATGCAGTAGTGAGCTGAGTTAATGATGGGTATTTGAATCTTTAACGTTCACCGGATTTCCCGCAATGAATCTTATTGATCATGGTACCATTTTGAATGAATGCAAGCCTCAAAACATGTATATATGACGATAGATGTGCTGGGTCAAAATTGAAAATCTAGACAAGAGTGTCCCTTTGCCGAAGGCACACGTAGCAAAGAACGACATTACGCAGTGAAAATATGGATCACGATATCCGAAAACGCGTCGCGGCTCACATACATCACGATGTGTTTCAGAAACTTTGGGCTCGACCGTCGGCACTGCTTTTCATCAATCTTAAGCCCAAGGATGTCTGATTCTGACACCTACCCGTACCCGTCACTTTTTGTACCTGTGACACCCGCGAACCGGTTCTGAAAACTATCCAGAAGTGAACTCATGAACTCCGCCTCGTGTTCTCCGTACGTCTTTCAAGGGATATTACTACATGGGTAAAATCACTTGGTTCAGAATTTGTGCTCAAAGATGATAATGCTAGATGCCCATCTGGTACACGCCATCGTAGCAAGACGGTCGAATCCCGATTCCGTAGCGATACAACCTCTGAATTGGCCCAAAAGCTTCTAAAGGAAGTACGTACATGATGCAAGAAAATGAGATACCAGAGTGTTGGCTCACTGAGGCGGGGATACTCAATCAAATTGCCTACATCATAAAATCAAATGACGTCGTGTCAAGTGTCTGTCGGACCGCAAATAAATCATTGTACGAGTCGCTGACCCTACGTTGATGGGTGTCTGGTTTACGCAAGAAGTGACACGACGTATAAATGTCGTTGACGAATTACTGAAGAAATATGAGAGCGCAAGACCTCAACAAGGATCCGAGAACATATTCCATGCAGCTCCCAAATTCCCGAGATCCACGTCTCTCACTATAAATAGAGGAAGATACGGCGCTTCAGCATAGTACTCCTTTCACCCATCGGAAACATCCACTTGCGCGGTCCGCATTTGGCACTGGCTTTCATGTAGCACCGAAATCACCATGTCGGCTTACATCCATCAAGTTCCTGTGGAGACTCTATGCCATATATTCGTATCTCTACTGTCTACTGGCGCTGAGTACAACTTTCCTTTGGTACTCCGATCGGTTTGCAAGCGCTGGCAGGCGGTTGCGGAAGAAACTCCGGAGATATGGACTGTGCTTCTCGTACATGGTGGCATGTATTGGACGCGACGCGCTTTGGAACTTTCGACGAACACGCCTCTGGATGTGAGATTACATTCCAAAGGTCTGGAAGACGAGTGCGTTGCACTAGAGTCTTTGATACTATCGCAGCTCTCTCGCATTCGCACGCTGGTACTTCGCCCTGTCAAGGTTCATCATCACCTACTGCCTCTCCTTCGAGGCTCTGCTCCTCTGCTCGAGAAGATGGAGATTAATGGCGAATGTGCTTTTCCTACTTTAGAACTGAAGGGCGATCTGATGGACTGCCCTCCGCCCCGTCTTTCCCACCTGACGCTTAGTTTTGTGAAACCATTCCGATATTCTATGTTTCTCAAAGCACCTCTAACCCATCTGTGCCTGAGACATTGCAACGCCTGGAAAACTATTGACGGTGTCCTGGACATCCTCACCAGTCTTCCGCGACTTGAAAGACTTTCCACGATCTCGACTTTCCATTCAGATTACCCCTCGCGATCCAGGACTCTTCCAGAAAACGTGTCAGAGAAGATTTTGGAACTTAGGAAGATGAAGTATATCGAAATGAACGAGAACATCGAGGCTTTAGGAGATCTCATGCCTCATATTATCCTTCCACCTAACTGTTCTGTTCGATTGGCAGTCGAGATCTTCGATGATGAACTCGGGCCTTTGACCAAACAGGATGAAGAAAACATGCTCTCGGCGCTGGAACTTATATGTAAAGACCATCTCGAAACGGTGCACTACGCCGCAATAAACGGCGGTTTGCCGTATGATGGCTTTGGAAAGTTGGAAATTACTGAGCCTGAGAACGGTAGTTATCATTGTGCTGGGCTTGTAGTCCGTTGGTCAACATTTTCCTTCTCTCGTTTCTTTGGAGGTGAATATCGGCTCACACTGAGCGTTCCCACTCTATTTGCTGGGATCCTGGAGATTACCATTCGAGAGATGGTCAATGCCTGGGCAAGTGCTTCCCATAAAGTTACGCACTTGCACGTAGATAACGATTATCTGTTCGCAAACACAAAGTTATGGGAAGAGTGTTTGCCATCTTTCCTCGGGTTGACTGATCTATCTGTCACCGGCTCCTCAATCGAATCGCTGATGGAGACTATAAAAGGAGAGAAGTGCATTATACCACGGTTGAAAAGTATCAGACTTTCAGATTTAGACCTTTCCGAAAAGGCCTTTTTCACCTGTATGAGTGTGATGATGATAAGGCAGTCGAGTGCGCCTTCCATGTCTGACATGGCGCACTATATCTTGCTAGACCAATGTGCAATAAATGGTGTCTATTTTCACATGGAAGTGCGTCTTAAAGACAGAGCACCGAGGGATGAGACTTTTGAGGACCAGGGGGGGGGGGATTCAAACGGATAGACTTTGACGGATTCTAGAGTCTCCAAATGTTCAACCATTTTCTCGCTCCTCTCTGGCGGAGCGAGAACTCGTGCTTGGGCATCTTCATGTATTCCATCCTATTTATTTTCTATTCCTGGTTCCATATG